TCTGGCTCAGTCTTGGTGATGATGGTTTTTTGGGAAGCCTATTTGAAGGTGTGTGGTTTTGCTGCATGTACTGAAATTTACTTGCAGCTGTGGTTCTTATTAAAGTCTCTGGCTTCTTCATGCATGTGAATCATTCATGAGAGCTGTGAAGTGGAGCAGTAAACCTGCGTGGCCTGGTAACATCTAACTGAGATAGCATAGACACACCAGAGGAGGCAAGGAACATGGAGAGAACAGTGTACAGAGCTCTCCTCAATCTTGGAGTTATGTGAACCCATGTCAGATAGGAAGGGGGGGAGCATAGAAGACAGACTGGACCTGACAGTAACCAAAATAAGAGTCATATGCTAAAGGAATTCAGGTGGAATTTTTGTCCTGGAAGAGACATTTTGAAAGCCGGCTGACTTGTTGAGGACAGCAACAGCAGCTCCTGACATAAATAGCTTTTCCCTCTCGGCTGTCTGTTGGTGGCCCATGACTTGTAACTGCACTGAGACCCTGCCGCTCAACAGGTGTGTCCTGATTACACAAATAAGTGCAGTTGGTCCCTGTGTTAGCCATCCCTGCCACAGGGCCAAGGTTGAAAGTGGGGCTTAGCCACTGTGACCTATTTGTTCCTCTGTGACCCTTCCAGTCAGGCCTGAGGCAGGCTGGTGACAGCTTTTATGCAGACAGCAGATTTTGTCCACAGAAGAGATTTGGTCTCTGCAGACTTGCATTTCCGGGTGAGCTCTTCAGCACTTAAAATGTAGCAAAATATGTAAGACTTTGGGTTAGGATGCCCCATACAGCTGGAAAAATATACTGTATGACATGCTGGTGCTATCTTCTATAACATGGTATATGTCGTTGCAGGCACCATTGTTTTGGCACATGCTGAAATTGTAGACGGCCAGTAGAAATCTCCCCCAGGACGCAGTAAAGAACAGAAGCTCTTGCTGTTGCAGAAATACCATTTCTGGTGGCAAAGGACTTTGGGGAGGGGTTCACTGAAGGCAAAAACTGTTGGAGGTGAAGTTTTAGAAGGAGACGTGCTTAGCCTCTGGCTGAGTGATTCTTTCATTGCTTTCTTTTGGGGCCCAGGCCAGCAACTCCCATGGTGGCTGAGGTCACCTGGGTCAGTGGTGCTG